GCCACTGTTCCTCTTCTGCCCCATCGCCATCATCCATGGAGATGCACAGAAGGGCCTGGTCATCCGTTCTTTTATCATTTTATATGGCAAGAGTTTAAAAAGGTTTGTCAACAGGGGCATGGCATGGTAAGGGGAGGATTTGGGGAACTGGAAATTTACACAGGTTGTCTGAGGCAGTCAACTGACTAGGCCACAGATAGCACAGGCCAATGGGTAGTTCATCCCCACCCCCCATCCTCCATCAATCCTGGTGACATTAGAGCATGGTTGCATCTCCACAGCTGGAGTACGGGATGGCTGGCAGGCAGCCTACCTGGAAACTTGCTTAGGAGGTCCTCAATCAGCACTTAAGATACCTTACGGATAATACTCATTGCGCAACACCTAAATGGTAGATGATGACAATGGTGTTGAAGAAGCCAAGCATAATCTTCCTTTCAGTAAGTTTTGGAGGTGGTATTTACTGTTATCAGTCAATATTCCAGTCAGAAACTGATGGCATTGGTATAGCAGTTGAAGAAAGGTGGTTCCCACTTCTTTTTTGTCTAGATTTTATTTATTTTTTAAATTTATATATAATTTTTATTTTTATGATGCAGTTTCATAGGATCAGGAATTTCCCCTTCCACCATCCCCATTTGCCCTCTCCCCACTGTTCCCCCTATATTATTACAACAGTATAATCCTTCAGCAGTAGTCACAAATTCATTATTCTTGTATTTAAGTGCATAATGGCATTGTAAGTGTAGACAATGATAGAGCAGCCAGCATCCTATTGTCAAGGTATATTTAACTGTTTCATCGGGGATCTATCTTTTCTTCAGGAGTAGAACACTGCACTGTATCTTCCCTTCTCAGTGTGAGTCTCCATTCTTGGAGTAACCACAGCAGAAATTAACACTGGATTGTCCGTCACCCCAGGGAGAGCAGGAGAAACCATTCCTTATCATCCTCAGGTGCAAAAGGCTAAGCAGAAACATGATTGTCCAAACTGCAATCGGGAAGAAACTGAGTAATAGTCTGTGGCCTTGAAGGCCTGCTGAATAGGAATCCAGCTACTATTACTAGTATCTTGTAAGTAAGGAATTAGAAAAAATAAATGACTTGACCTTATTCTACTACTCTTCGTCAGGGCAGGAAATGTAGCAGATGCAGCTGATGGAGTTTGGAGAACATGGCCTTCCAAGGAACAAGGTCAAATAGAGAGGGGCAGAAAATAGATATGATGGACAGAGGATTCCATCTACCCAGGAAAGCAGGAACCAGTAACAAATCCTCCGAGACCAGCTTGAGAACAACAAAGAGAGGTGTTGAGTAGGACTACCTTTTCAATAAGTTGACCAAAAAGTTGCATATTTAACTTAGGAAGATCTCTGGATTAGAAAAAGATAGTGTTTCATGGCTTATCAAAAGGATTCTTCCTTTGAAAGAACCAGAGGATCCACTGTAAAGGGAATGCTGCAGAAAACGGAGCTAACAAATGAATCCAAAATGAAAGAGTCAAGAAAATTACATAAACAGTGTGAATAATGTTATTGTGTATTGCAAATCCTTACCTGAGGCCCAATAACAGTCACTCTGAGAATGTGTTTACACTATCATAGTAGGTTTATTATAGCAAGGCCTAAATGTGTGGCTGAAGTAACACTTTACAATGTTCTTGTGTGTGACGGGAACAGATTAAGGCACTTGATTGGAATGAGACTTGATTTGAGGATTAGGTAAAGCTAAAGAAAAGGTTAAATGTTTTTAACAATTAGTTAATTACGGGAATAATTTGTTTGCTAAAAATTAAATCTATAGCCACAAACGAAGGCAATTACAAATTATAAATACAAATACATGCACATATTTTTTCTTCTCACATCCAAAAACACTAATATATTTGAATGGTACCATACAATGTGCTAAATCACACTTCCATGGTTATGTGGCCTCTCACTACCATTAAAAGAACCAATTGATATTCTAGTGTGATCATAAGAAGACATAGATATCAGTACAGGATTTCAGACCTCAAAGATCGGTGTTTAAACTGCTAACATGTCATTCATCTCATTGGGGACATTGTATTGTTGAAGACTCTCATGTATACTTAAAATGAGCCAGTGGCAAAGGAGCGATGAAGAACAGAATCCACAAGTGTGATCCCCACGTGAGGCCGGCTCTTCCTTTCCGTGCTATTGGCCGTGTGTTGTCACTCCAGGTCACCGATATCCTTCGTGACATTGGTTAGCCCTTTCCTGGGGGTGGGTGTTCAGCCATTTGCTGTTCATTGCCTATTTGCTGCGCTGGCATACTTGGGTCTGACTCTGGCCCCAGCCCCTGACTCAAACGTCCTTTTACTGCAGATCTTGATAGGCAGCAGTGATGGTTTCAGTTTGGCTTGGCTCATTGCCACAGCCTTGAAATGTGCCCTTTTGGGGAGTGTAACAGGAAACAGCAGCTCTAACCATTCCCCTCTCTCACTCTCATTCACCCTCTCTCAATCTCTTTCTTCTCTCAAACAAAAATTTCTTAAATCATCTAGCCCTGTCCTGTGTTTTTCTCTGGTCTTTAAAAGTCCATATTGTTTTAAACATCCATGCAGTAATTGAATCGGTAAAGCTAACACATGCCCCTCTTCAGGAAAAGCTCATTCCATTGGTAAAATGTTCTGTCTACAGTGTCATAGCTGTTAGAGTACTTTCATTAGAACAGGGTCAATCTGATTCATCAAGTAATAAAAATATCAAGCAATTCCACCTGTTATTGGGATAGGGGCCAAGCCAGAGGTGTTTTTTGGAAACTGTAAACTTCAAGCTCCATATTCTTTTCTCTTTCAGATCTAACACAATAAACTAAAATAATAAAAGTAGATTTTCCAGGCTTTAGTTGGAAGCTTTTCTCTTCAAAAGAAGTCTGAGAAGGAATACTAAACTGACCTTTCCGCAAGTTTGTTTCCTTCCTTGCCAACTCCCTGTAAAAGAAGTAGCAGTCTAAAATGAGCTTCAACCTACGGAAATTAAAAGTAACCTTTGGGCTAATAGGTTTTCAACTCCACTCTTTACTGAGCAAAAACTTCGTGCCCCATAAAATTAAATTACCTCCTCAAAACGGACTTCTCTAATGCATTACAATGCATTACAACATTAGATATGTTGAAGTAAAATTGGAATTTGTACAGAACAACGTCTTGCTCCCCAGGGTAACATTCTTATTCTTGTGAGGATTGATTTCATCCTTAATGGGGCTGCTCCATCTCGTTCGGGGGTCTAAAAACTGAGGAGTCCAAGAAACCTAAAAACTATCAAAGAGATGGTAGAACAATTAAAACCTCCCCCAAAACAAATTAGGTCTTTGAGGAAACTGGAACTACAATTTAAAGAAATAAATACATGAATGCTTTACCAAACAATAAATTGTCAGCTTGTGAAGCAGTCTTGCTTCTCGGAAGGTACCTGGTTATTTTGTTTCCTGGATAGAGGTAAGAACAAAGCATGATGTATTGTGACACATTTGTAAGGTACTGGGTTCAGTGTTAGCTCTAGCAATCACTGAAAATTGACCATGTTGTCACTGATTGGAAAAGTTCTAGTGTAGTCCTTGTAAAATGGAGTTGGAAGTCATAAACATGCTTTATCCTGAGAACTGAACTAGGCCCTTTGCCAATGAAAACATCAAGAATGCTGCATCAAGTGGGAAGGCTACTGGAAAAGATACATCATACATACACAAGACTGGAGATAACTTATAAACAGAGGTGGATGGCACAAACCAGATGCCTAATTTGCATTATGAGTCATTTGGAAAGAAAGGCACAATCAATGGGGTCATAGAAAACTAAGATTAAGATTTTGTCTAAAAGAAAATAGATGCACATAAAAGGCAGGTTTGTGATTATGTGATACAATATTATCCTTCCAGCTATGTACAGAATTGATGGGAGTCAGAAGACACACCATAATAATAAAAACTAACAATATCTAACAGTTACACTATGAGGTGTCTGGATTATTCTAGAGATTTCCAGATACATTAACCTGTTACATTCTCAGAGTGATGCTTTGAAGACAATATTGTTACCTGACTTTCCAGACTGGGAACCTAAACCGCTTAAGTCATGTGTGATTCTGACAGTAAGCATCCTGCGTAGCAAGCTCTTTACAGGCGTTAATTGCATGGCAGGTAGATTTCATTCACAATGCTGGCAGTGATCTTCCAGAAATGTCAAGATTACGCTTCTTACACAAAACATACTCAATCTTGAATGATTTCCTTATGGCAATGATCAAACATAGCAAAAGTAGTTAGAGCAGCACTGACGGGTACCACAGCCCCCAGGCATGCAGTCTGGATTCCTATTTCTACCTCATTTGTGGTACCCTCAGACTTAAAACTTTATTATTGCCACGCTGTTCAGTAGGTGACAATCGTTAAGATCTTAAAAATTACTAGAATTGCTTAGCATCAGGTATCAATCTGTAACCAATGTGCTGGTTCAATGCTTCTCAATTTACTGAGTACTTGCAGTCAGCTAGCGCTGGACACTTGCAGGTATACTGGTTTTGAAATGGCTAGTATTAGGTAAGGAGCAGGACATGCTTGCTGGTGGCTTCAGGATCTGACTCCTACTTCCTGCTCATGTGGACCCGGGGGCGGGGGGAGCAGGGCCTGATGGCACGGAGTTTCTGTTACCCAGGTGGGAGAGCCAAATGCCGGGTTTTGACTTGACACCACACATAAATTGCTGTCATTTAACTCTCACCATCCTCCTCCCCAATACACATACACACACTTTTCACACGTTTTAAGAGGCTCAAGTCTGTCACCACAGCCTCCACCCCACTCCCTCCAGGCCCCCAGCTCCCACTGCCTGATCCCCAGCCACTTCCCCGGAGTAAGGCCGAGACTCAAGGGCCCCACAGCTGCTTTCCAGTGGCATCCGTTCCCCTGCCCTGGGACGCTGGCCCCACCCCGGTTGCCTAGGCGACCTGGAGCCGCTTCCCTTTGGCGACAACATGGCGACGTCGACGGGGTTGACTCCTGGGGGGTTGACCCCCTTGGGGGTGACCCCAGCGGGAACATCGCCCGAGTCGGAGGTACGCCGCCCCTTTGCTATCACTGTGTGGGTCCCAAGACGTCCGAGCTCCCGCACGCGCTTCCCGCGGGATCCGCGGCGGAGTCCCCAGGCGGGACCGGCAGGTGCACTGCCTGCGTGGGCCGCTGGTTGGGAGCCGGGGCAGCGTGGAAGTCCACCCTGAGATCCGCCGCTGGGGCCATCTACCACCCTGGCCAGCTAAGGCGTACCTTGTGCCTTGAGATTGTAAATAGTATTAGTTCTCTCCCCCCAACAATTCTGTGTTCAAAGAACAGCACATGCTTTTACCCAAATGAAAAAAAAAATTAAAAATTAAATGTTCTCAGACTTTAAAATGGACACCGGCCCCTGTTTGGGAATCGCTGGTAATTCTGTAAAGATCACAGATGGGAGTTGCCGTGGAATGCCAGTAGCTCCTTGCTGATGGATTGATTAATGTTGGGAGGCTGGCTGTGTTCCTGTTAGTGTATCATTTTCTCTAAACAGACAATACATTGATAGAAGACAAGACGAAGCCACAAAAACCGGTCTTATGTTTAAGTTGATAAGTCGTTTAACCTCCTTAGACCCAAGTAATCTCCTGAATAATCTCCAAGTAAAGATGTGTTCTCTGTAGCTGCCTCCCAAAACCAACTTTAAATGATAAATGGGTTTTAGGTGACCTTACTTATAAGCTTAATATCCAGATCTTTTTAATAAAGAGAACATCTGCATGCTAGATATTAGGAAACAAATGTTTAGATTGTTACCACTGAATCTATCAAACAGTTCCTAAAAAGCTTTGTTTATAGCTCTAAAGGTAAGTAATGCTTTAATTAACACTGCTTTGCTTGACTCTCTTATTAGTCAGTCTAAGCTGAATTCTGTGTGCAAAAGTATGTATTCACTTCAATTTTATAAATGAAGAAACTCACGGATCCAATAGTTCTGCACCTGGCTCAATGATAGACCAGTAGTACAGCTACCCCCCTCAGCTATGTGCAGGCCACTAAGGCTTGGAGACTCTCACTGAGCCTTTTGAAATGAACATTTGTTTAAAAAGCAAAAAGCAATCTATGTATATAAATATATATATGTGTGTGGGTGGGTGGGTTTAAACAGGTACGAAGTCTCTTGTTCACAAAAGCATCACTTTTTACTTTGGGTGAATCCAGCAAATGGGCTGGCTGTAGACAACAGGTACTGATCCGCCATCGGGACTGTCAGCTTATATGCTTGCTATCTTCTATGACACACAATTTCAAAATTTTCTCAGTATCCTGAATTTCATTTAATAAAATGGAGAAATTCAGTTGACACTCAGACTCATTTTTCAGTGCCTGTTTGCTGGGGATAATATATTGATAATGTTGTGTGGTTAAAACTCTGTTTTCGATCCTTGTGAAAGTCAACTTCCTATAATCCGTGGAGAAGACAGTTGCTCCATAGAGCTCTGCTACTTATGATAATGATGAGTCCCATCTGCCACCCATTTGTGCTGACTGGGGATTTCAAACATTTGAAGGGAGAGATAGCAAGACCCTTCCTTGTCGTCCTCAAGGCTGCAGCTTTTCCGTTAGATACTGAATGCTTTTTCTCGGATTCATTTCTTTGCAAAGTCGATCTCCTGGGACCTAGTCCTTTATGGGGTCAATTCTAATAAACTCTGTTCCCAAATTGACTTAGCCAGTAGACCACTAGGCAGCTGAGCCAAGCAGTATTGAAATATTTCTTTTCTTGCCAAGTCTATCAGAAACAAAGCATAGGCTTCCAGTAGTCAGAGGTTTCCTATTTGTTGCTTGTGGCCAACATCTAGGCCAAAAACAATTACCCCCCCCCCAGTCATATAGTAGGCACTCAATAAATTATGATAACTGCCGTAATTATAATCATGGGTGGTCTGATGTATGCCAGGAAAGGTAGTTATCATAGACTAACATCTATTCTTGAGACACTGTGAATAAGTAGAAAGGAGATGCAGCCCCAGAGAAATAATTTTCTCTGTGACATTGCATTAGCTCGGCTTGCCAGCTATGAATTCAGTCTTCTAGAGTCTTTTGTAATATTGGACTAAATGTCTTCCTTTAAAAGTTAAAGCCAACTTACAGAAGACATTTGTATGAACGCTGAAGAACAGAGAGAAGGACACAAATCTAAAAACATTTATTATCTGTAGATTTATAGATGAATAGAATGTGAAAGTGATGCTTAAATTCAATAATCAACCTTCTTTTGATTGGTGGTTCAGATATTAGCCTTCTTAGTATACTCAACCTTAATTGGGAAATAACATCACTTAAAGTAGCGTGTTTGAGTGCCTAATTCAAGTCCCACTGTTTACATTCTGATCAATTTCCTGCTAATACACCTCCCGCAGAAAGCAAATGAAGGCTTCGTTACTTGAGTCTTTGCTGTTCAGGTGAAAGATACAGGTTAAATTCCAGGCTCCTAACTATGGCCTAAGCTGGTCTAGCCATTGTGGGCGCTTAGGGAATGAACTGAAGAGAAAAACAGAACTGTCTCTTCTCTCTCCTTTGTCTTTGAAATAAAAGGTAAATAAATAACAAATTTTAAAATATACTTCAGTTCACATTAGTCTTAATGGAAATTGTGAACGATTATTTCCCAATTATTTCTTCTGAATGGTACCACTTAAATTGTCCCTACATCTTTTAATATTTGACATTTGCTCATTCAACTCAAGAGCACATTTAGATCATCTCGAGTAGAAAGCTCGTGTTACTTGGTACAGAGATAGCCGATGTATCCTGCAGGCGGCAGATAATTTTCTGTGGAATAACTGGTGCCTTTGGAGCTTAGGAAGCTGCCCCTACTCCACCACTGGCTGATTCGAGAGAAAACTTGGGCTCAGGAACAAAATGATTAGGTTTCTGCAATTTCAATGTCATTCAAGGAATATCTGTTGAAATTATTCTTTATTGGTGTGAATGAGCACATGGTGACTACCTAGTGCAGTCAGCCTGCAGACGGTGGGTCGATGCAGAGGAGAGTCTGTTAAAATATGTTTGAGAAGACTGTGCTAATACATCTCAGAAGGTTAGCACTCAGTCGTAGAACTGAGCAAACACTGATAACCCCTGGCAAATACTAGCTGTGGTCATGGCAGTAACAAATATGTGGGCTTGTCCTGCTTCTCACCACTGGTTTTATGGCTGCCTTGTTATTAAAATCTGTGCCTTCCTCCATCTTTTGTACTGTCTCTCAAGTAATACAGCACAAATCATCTTCAATCTTTGGCTAATATTTAAAGTTTTATTTACCTAAAATCTTAATCAAGGTGGAATTAATTCGAAATGCTGATCTGATAATTTTCAAAAAAAGCAAATCTGATTTACTTTTGAAATTTGAAGAATTCATACAAATCTCTTTTGTCAAGTTTTATTTTTAAAACATCGTGAAGCCTTGTGATTTCTTTATATAGATCTCATACATTTCCTGTTGTCTATAACCAAATCAGTTTTCACATTTTCATTTCTAATTAATATTATAGTTAAAGAAAAACAATTACCTTTCCTCCCCCCTTACCAAAAAAGTGTATTTATTTGTTTGAAAGGCAAAGTTCCAGAGAAAGAGAAACAAAGAGAGGGAGCGAGATCTATCTGTTTGTTCATTCCTTCGGTGGTCACAATGGCCAAAGCCAGAGCTTCCCCTGGGTCTCAAGGACTGGGGCCAGCCTCTGCTGCTCTCTCAGGTGCGTTAGCAAGGAGCAAGATTAGAAGTGCAGCAATGGAGACTCAACCAATGCCCGTATGGAGGGCAGATGTCACAGGCCACAGCTCCGTCTCTATCATAATGCCAGGCTCAGTAATTGGCCTTTACATATATGTTGTACTCATAAAATCATCTTACCAACCTTTTTATTATTAACTCAACCAGTGTTAGTACTCTCTCAGGTTTCTTAGGTAAGCTTTAAATACAGGTTTTTTATTTCCTCATTTTTAATATGTAAGTCAAATATTTAATTTTGTTGCTCTGTTAGTTAGAACCTCTGTGGTGGACTGAATTACACCAGCATTACTAGACGTAATCCCTTTAAGTTCCTGGTTTTCGTAAGAATGACTTTAATATTTTACCTTTCATTATGATGTTTGCTGTTAATTTTGGCAAGTACTGTTTCTTCCCAATGTTTAACATATTTTCCATTTGTATTTCACAGAGAGTTTTATGGCTGGATTCACAAAGTGCTTGTTTATTATCTATTTATATCATCATGATCTGTATACTTAGATTTGGCAAAAAATCTGTTGTAGCTGTTAATGATGATCCAGCTTTGGATCTCTCAAATTAATCTTATTAGTCATAAGCTTATTATTCTTTTAGTACCTTGCTGAATTCAGTTTTCCAAGATAAGTTTTAATTACAAATTTGCACCCGAATTTATTAGTCATTAGTGGTAAATTTGGCTAGTTTAGGAATTTGTGTGTAGATTAGGTGGGTGAGCACAGTGGCGTAGCAAGCTCATCCACTGATGTGGCGCTAGCGTCCAACACAGTCACTGGGTCATGTCCCAGCTGCTCCATTTGTGTGCCTGCTCCCTCCTAAGCCTTGGCAAGCAGCAAAGGATGGCCTAAGTGCTTGGACCCCTAGACTCATGTGGGAGACCTGAAGGAAATGCTAAGCTCCTAGTTTCAGATTAGCCCAGCTTTGCCCATAGCAGCCATATAGGGAGTGAACCAGTGGGTGGAAGAACTTTCTCTCTCTGTGTCGCCCCTTTTCTGTAGTTTTTTAAAGTAAAATAAATAAATTCTTTTTTTAATGAACTCTATAGTAATTATTAGGCAGAGAATTTTTGTGGTGTTTATTAGGTAGAATTTCATTGGGGCATATTGGATTTGTGAAAGGTAAGGTTCTAGTTGAGTTCATTTTGGTGAAGTTTGGTTCCTCCGTTTTGATAACTTACATTTTCCTGGGAAATCATTGATTTCTTTAGAATTTTAAAATACATTTACACTTAACATGTCATATGCTTATTTTCTTTCTTTAATCATATCAGCCAAAGTTTACTTAGCAACTTCTTTCTTACTATTCTTCCATTGATTTATTTTGTTTCTATTTTCTTAATTGATCTATAAAAAAATTATGATGAGCTGGGTGAGGCAGTCACTTTGGACACAAAGTTTAGGGGGAATCTCTAAAACCTCAGTAATCCAGGCAAAACACGCTTTAATACAATACCATAACATTAATTTTAAAAAGTCCATGAATGGTAAAAAATTTAAATGAAGCCAGGATCAGCATTACTGCTCCTTAATTAATGTCTTCGCAGGTTTGATGAAAGCCCTTCTAACTCTAGAATTTCTAAACCAGACCAGACTGAATGTCTCTGTAATTAGGAAATTGCTCATTTTAATCTTTGGTGAAATCTGTTATTTTTCAAACAAGTATCTATGAAGAATCATTTTTGTGTAAGACACTGTAGGTACAAAGTTGCCTTTGGAATCTAGCATTCCAGAAAGAGGAAATATCGTGGGTTACTTTAAAGATTTGTGTAAAAATGAAGTTAAAAGATGATGCACATTTTCCATGATCTTTCTGAAGGTCCTTTGGATAAATGTGGAAGTTTATGTGGCTTTGGAGGGGAGAAAATTAAAGGTAAGGTTATCTAATAAATAATACCAGGTTTACAATGTGTTGCTCTTGGAATAGCTGCTTAAATCCAGCAGGTGGTAGAATAAAATGAATTTGCAGTGTAGTTCAGCTTACATATTTTCCTGGTTGGAGATGTAATTTTACACAGAAAGCCATAATTACACATCCACTTTTTCATTTCACTGATGAATTTTCTATTGCTCTTTTTATAAATCCAGAATATATGTGTTTGAAAGAGTAAAGATTTTTAGCCACCTAGTATTCTTTCTAATGCACAGCAGCAAAATCACAAAAAGGTCTAGTTAAAAATGAATCCAGTGATACAATATAAAATACAACAAAACCCACTTAGATGAGTCTCTAAAGTTTGCCACACCTAGGTAAAAAATGAGGCACTAATATTAGGCATGTTAACTAGAATTAATTCTTATCCAGGAGGTTGATAATTGGATTCTCTCTTCTATAATTTTTGTGTGACCTACTTTTCCCTGTCCAGAGATTTTTCAGACCAAATAAATTGATGTGAATGTCTTTGTAATTCACTTTTCATGTATATCTTTATTCATTATTAATAATGACAGTGAACTTATATGTATTAAAACATATAAAATGATTTTAATATGAATCCAAATTTAGGTTCAAATGACTTGCCTTAAGTCATAAAATTAATCAGTAGTCAAACCACTGTGAGATTCCCAATCTTCTTTCAGTTCTTCTTTCATCATGATTCACCATCTAAAAAAAATGTCACCATGTGATGAAGATGAATTCATTCTTTAAAAAAATCTTTGTTGACACATCAGGATCTTCAGAATTCCAGAAAGAAGTAAAAGATTAAATTATTGTCCCTGAGGAATTTACAATCTAATGGAAATGACAATATAGGAATAATCATACCTTACTGCTAATAAAAGTGTGTGTAACCAAAAACCACTTAGCGAATATATAACCTATGTATTATAGAACAAAATACTACCTTATAGAAAGACTGAGTGCATTTAATCCAATTTATAGGTATCTCAATGCCTACTAGTTGCAATATCCTTACTTAGGTTAAATTAATCATCCTAGATTACAAAAACATGGCTATTGATGTAGCATGTTTTATTTATAAGCCATGTTTCTAAAAATAAAAGTATAATATGAGATTAAGTCAATAAAGTATTAGGGTTTGTGTTTTTGTGCTCTTGAAACAAGAGTAAGGGAAATGTGAGGCATGATGTGGTCAACTCTCACAAACCATTTCCTTGATCTTGTTTACTGCCACCCATTCACCTGGAAGATGCAAAAGTTATTTGCTAAATTGAAAGCCATTTGATTGCTTAAGCTTCAAAACCCCACAGTTCTTGACTTTGGTTAGTTACTGTTTTCTTACTTCAGTTTCTTAGTGGCCTCTTTCATGTTCCATTCACAGCTCTTCTCTGCATGCTCTGTATTTGGCTAGCCTCATAGATTGTCACACTCGCAGTTGGTTTCTAAATCAGCATCTTTAAGCTTGACTTTCCTAGCACCAGCCTTTCCAATTTAGCTCTAAAGCGTCTCTGCTGTGTGCAGTTCACCTTAAACTGAACCACTAAATGAAAACCCATCGTCTTGCCTTTGCAGAACTACCATTGTCTCTGTCTCTGTTTCTATTGGTGTAGCAGAGGCATCATACTCAACTGTGCAGCTTGTGCTCTCAAAAGTGACTGCACAATGCTGTGCACTCTGTGACTATTCAGCAAGTAATGTAGGATCATTAAATCTGAGTTCTTCTACAATGTATTTATAATGCCCACTTCCCAACGCATTCCCAGTTACTCCTGTAGTCATATCAGAGGTGACTATTCTGAACAGCTTGACATTTCCAAATGTCCCAGCAGGTTCTCTCTTGATTATCTTAGTGTTACTAATCCATTTACGTGGAATGACCTCCTGGACCTCCTTTTTGTAGATTTTCTTTGTCCTGTCCCTGCCCTTGTTTCTCCTTTTAGACTAAATGCCACATTGAATGTGGCTCTTGGCTCACTTACCATGTTGTTTTTTTTTATTGGAAAGTCAGATATACAGATAAGAGAAGATACAGAAAGATCTTCCATCCACTGGTTCACTCCCCAAATGGTCACAACGGCTGGAGCTGAGCTTATCTGAAGCTAAGAGCTTCTTCTGGGTCTCCTACCCAGGTGCAGGGTCCCAAGGCTTTGGGCCATCCTCGACTGCTTTCCCACTGGAGCAGCTGGGACACAAACTGGTGCCCATGTGGGATCGTAGCACTTGCAAAGTAAGGAGTTAGCCAATAGACCATCTCACCCAGCCTTTACCTTTTAAATAGATAAAAATAAATCTAAAGAAGCAAACATTAATCTTTGTATTTAATATGTAAAGCATTTTCCTAAAATACCCTGTGCCACTTTTTTTTTTAGAGAGATGATGAAGTTCAGGAGCAGGAAAAGATACTGTCTCCGGATTTTCTTTCAATTGCTCAGATCACTGATTTGCTAAATGAGGATGAAGTTGGAGTTCAAACGTAAGCATTCAATATTACAGTCAACTATAGAACATTTATAGCTCTGCACCTATAGATTAATGTGATATATTGATAACATACTTTAAGCCTTTTTATATAATTTCTAATATTGTGTTGTGCATGATAGGTCAAGAATAGAAAACACCAACGTTCTCAAATTTATGCTATTTATACTGATTAAGTCTTCTTTGTGGGAGAAATACAGTGCACATCAGCTTGTTGATACCAACCAAAAGAGGAACTTCCTGTTAAAAGCAACTTCTAGCAAATGCTATCTTCTGTTTCATCTTCGTTTCCTTAATAAACCTATCAATGTACATACAAGAACCTTCTTATGTGGGGCCTCCATCCTTTCCTAAAATGTGTAAGCAATAGTTTCTGATGAAACAGATAGTGAACAAATTTTTATTTTCTTGTAAATTATGAATATTTGTTGTTCTTCTGTGATTTTTATCAGAGATCTAGCTAGGCTGTGCATATCCATTGCTTAAAAATGCAAATATAACTGAATGCTTAGACAATCATTCTAACACATGTGCAAGTCAAATTACTCTTGAGGCCTCTTATTTCCACAGGTCATTTATGTAGAACACGATAGTCGGACAAACCAACATAGTTTTCTAAAGGATGCTTTTAGTAATTACTCTTCTGAAAACTTATCTCACTTTAAAATGAAAACCTAATTGGACCTCATGTGCAGGGGCTGATGCAGAGTGCTGCGCCATGACATCTTCGTGTCTGCTTTCTGCAAGCCGGTCCTCAGGGCATAATGGATAAATAGAATGCTACTCTATCAGTGGTTATCACCGGCAAATCTTACGAGTATTATGGAATAGAGGCAATTTACTACTGAAAAGGCAATATGACAGATGTATTGGCTGCAAGAGAAATTTGAGAAGGGAAAGCTTATCATGAGCAGCCAAATAACTCTGAAAGATCTTTCCCAAGATGCACTTCACCCCGGCACTTGCACACTCTGCTATAAATTGATGATCCGTGAGCCACACTGCCCACTGTCTGCGTTTGTGCAGGTACTACTGGCTGCATTTCCCAAGTGTTCCAAGGTGTGGATATTGAAACAAGTATCATCTGGTCATTTTTAACATTGTGTAGTAATCAGTGTTTTTTTAATAATTCTGACTGTTGATGTGAAAGTTGATAAGTAAAATGCAATCCTTGCATTGATAACAGATATGTTTAATTAAAATACAATTTTCCACTTCCAGCTCATACGCAATGTTACACATTATTACAATGCAAAATTGCAGGTGCTGAGTATTAAACAAAATAATACAATGCAAGTAACAGGTATATGATACACTTTATAACTTATTTGTACTATATATGTATTTAGCATGATGCCTTAACTAAAATGTATCATTACGTACAAATGGCATTTGCATTTGTGTATATTGCAGTGTGTTGTGCTGTGTGTCAAACTTTGATTTTTTTTTAATTACTAGGTCTCTTTTGTTGTTAAATACTTGAATTCTGAGAATATTTTTAATTTTTAGATGTTAGGTCTAGAACAAAGCATATTACACAAAACATGATACAGACATTAGCAATATAAAGGCAACTAGTTTCTACAGCAGGTGGAATTTTGAGACTGTCTTATTAGTATAAAAATCACATAAAATAACCCCAAATATTAGAAAGTTATTTCTCAATAAATGTCAATGTTATGTTGGGAGTAATAGTTTTCTGGAGGTTCTTTGTTTAATATTTGTAATACTAATACTGAAATATTTGTGATCAGTGATTCACTTTGAGTTTTAAAATAGCATTATTATAAATAAGAAATATATACTTTTCCAAACAACAGAAATGTAATTTACTTGTCCTGTCACCAAATGACATAAATCAATACATTTCCCTGCTTTTAAAAATTAAAACTGGCCTCCATGAAAGCAGCCAACCACATGAAACATTAAATTAACATTAAAGCATTTTTCTGGAATACACTTTAAACACAGTTAAATGTCTGGGTACATTCCTTGTGATCTCCCAACTGCTATCAATCATAAGTGTTTTAATGTGACCCTGATTTTATTAACAGATCCAACCTAAATACTGTTTTTAAAAGGATGGGAACTAAATTGAAAGTAACTACATAAACACAGAAATAATACTGGGACATCTTTTAATAAATTTTCCATAACCGGGCCTCCATGAGCTGTTTAACTTTTGCCTTAAGGCATATTTCTGCATGTCATCACATTTGAGAAGTAGAATGCACTCAAATTTCAAAACCATGCAAGAATACTCTATTTTTACAGGAATTCTTATTGAGACACAGGAGTTACATCAGCTATCATGTAGCAAAACTCCTAAAAACGTAACGAAGCTTTCTTCTTGCTTCTTTCTCTCACACTGCAGCTGCACTCATCTGTCCATCCTTGTTCTAGTTGCCATTAAAAAAACAAAAAAAACTTTGCATTCAAACTGCAGCAGCGTCTTTCTCCAAATGCCTTCTTGCATAATCCTCATTGGAATGAAATGACTAAACAAAGGGTAGAAATGGTAAATACTTAGCCTGTAGTTCAAATTAAAGGGGAAAATTCAAATGGGCCTGGGAAGAGTGGTGGAGGGGGCTCAGAGGAGAGCAAAGGTTGGTGAAGGTCAGAATGATTTCCCCAAAATATTCCAAGGCACGTAAGTAGTTGCCTTTTTTTAAACACAACTAAGCACTGAAAAATGGATATTAAAAGCAAAGAATATATGCAAATATGCAGGTCAAATATTTAACTGCAAAGAAATACCATGCAGATGGCAGATGGAGAGTACACTTAGAAAGAAAATTAGTTGTTAGAAATTAACAAAATATGACACAAAATCTGGTCATTAAAGAGGACATCAGTTCCACAATACAAGAGAGTAAGGAAGAGATGAAAAATACGTAATTAAGAAGCTTTTAGAAGTAAAGAGAGAAGTAAGGGTGAAAAACACAACTATCAAGTCAGTAATGTGGAAGATAATTTTAAAAAACTTAGAAAATGTAGATTAAAATAATTAGAATATGTTAGGACATAAGTCTGGCATTATTAATCAGAGAACACAATTTTCACAAAATAAAGGCTTGTTTTTTTTAATATTTTAGTGAAGTAAAACTACATGTATTGTCTTATCTCTAGGATAAAGCAAGTCACTCTAGTGAGGACAAAGGTGGAAAGCCTGACTCTCCCTTAGCAGTGTGGAAAGCAGGAATCATAGAATGACAGGTCCACAAAGGTCAAAAGACTGATTCCAAAGTAAAAGGCAGATCTGTTTTATGGTTTAGCTATAATGGCAAGAAGATCACGGAATATGAGATTACATTAAAAATGTTAGTAGAAAAATGCAGTCAAATGCTGCATTTGTCTTTGGTGCAGAAAGTTTTGAAATTTGTGCACATATGGAACCTTTATGTAAAATGCATATGGTAATAGTAGGCATGGATTTCAACCTTTTGCACCAAAATATACTTACCTTTTAATCATGTCCTTGAATTTTTTGAGGTACCCTTATAAATACAACAAGTCAGAAAGTCTGTTATCTTCCTCATAATAATGGTTAAAAGATGAATCAGTTAATTCATTCATGCGTTTAGAACAACAAAACTGCCAATGTGAAATTGTGATATAAAAAGCTGGGAGTTTATCTTGGGACTCATTTAAAATTAAAATAAAGGCTAATAGGATAATAATAATAGACAGAAACAGTTATTCCAGTACTTGTCAACAAAAAAATAGGTGTGAAGATGAGAAAAAAAAAGTAACCTAGTTTTCTCTAATTATCTAATTTAAACTGAGCTTCAGTTAGCAAAGTTTTCCAAAAGTGTCACCAAAGTCAGTATTCCTAAGTTTACCAAGAAACCTCTGACAAATGCATGAAGAAGAAAAGTGTCCGAAACATATCTATTTTTTTAAAATTTCATTTGATGACACAGTTCCATAGGCTCTGGGATTCCCAAAACCCCTTTCCCATATTGATTTGCTCCATATTATTACAGCAGTATAGATCATAACCAGTCATAATTCCATCATTGTGAGCCTGGACCATGCAGGGAGTCCAGCATATTATTGTCCAGATAAATTCAACAGTTTCATTGGGAGACCATCCTTGATCTGAAAGCAGAGCTGACAGAATATCATCCCCTCCAATAAAAAGCCACAACACAAATTCAACAACAGGAAAAAACACATCATGAAATCAATTGACATGGTACTGAGTGACCAATGTGTTAGAAAAGGCAAGTTCTTAATCACATCCTGTAACTACTTCATTGACATCTCAATTTTAGTTTATACATAACCAACTGCTATAAACCTTAAAATGGTTACAGTGTACTATTCAGCTGTCTCTGTCTTTTTCCCCCCTTTTTTCTTCATATTTATATTTAGCTGCTTATAGTATTCAGGCGTGATTTTTACTGAGCTTTGTGAATTTTAGGATAGTCCAAACAGGCCCATAACTCTAGCAAGCCATATGTTAACAATTGAGGAGCAAAACAGTTTTAGAAGGGGTGTGCAGAGAAATCTTCAACATCTTAGTGAGGAGTAACTGGTCTTTTTATCCTACCTAGTAAGGTATATAGGAGTCCAAGCTGACTTTTTCTTGTCTGTCCTAAGGTTTCCTTATTGGTCTCTCTCTGTCTATCTGATCTAATGTGGGGAGCTCCAGAGTGACCCTGATGGTCATTGCAAGAGAAGACATTCAACTTCCTTTCGGAATCGGGGGAGGGGCCTTCTCTGGTCCTTACTTAGCTCCAACCTTGACCCCTCACCCTTTCTTGAAATATATCTTTTTAAAGCTGGAGAATGGCCATTCAGCACTGCAGTTAATATATCCCATCCCATCTCTGAGTACCTGGGTTTGAGGCCTGGCTCCAGCTCCTGACTTCAGCTAACACAGACCAAGTAGGTTGATGACGGCCCAGGTAGCCGGCTTCCTGCTGCCTGGGTTACGAGACCTTTACCTCTCAGGCTAAGACCAAAAAAAAAAAAAATTACATTTTCTAAAAAGTGAAATTCAATTTAGCAAATAAGAAAGAAATAGGATGACAGTGTTTCTATTAGATTAATAGCTATTAAAATTATAAGATAAAATTCAAATTAAATGAGGGTATAAGATCATGTGAGGCTGATGGAAGATGAGGGAAGTTTAACAATATGTTTCTTAACATTATCAAACATAACCAAGGGATGCCATTTTACAAGCTTGTTTCAAAAATGTGTTAGTGGTTTGTTAAGCTCTTCGTCATTTTCTGTTGAAGGTGTCGAAGCTCATTTCGGGAGGTAGATACTCCCAATATTTTCTCACCGTTACTTAGAGCTCCCTCTTCCTGATGAGACTAGTACTGCATAAAGGTTTCCCACAACCCTGCTGAATATTTTTAAAGTTATATTCATTGCAAACTTTTTCTTATTCTGTAGCTTTATTTTTTTTTTCAATCTGGAAAAAATTGTCCTCAGTGATTCAGAAGTTTGTCCTCAAGATAGAACAACATACTTTTATTTTCTTCATGATTTGTATTTTTGATATCATGCTTCAGAAATTTTGGCCAACACAAATGTATACATTATTCTATTAAAAGTATGTAATGCTTTTTATTGATATTTAGATTTGAATACATTTGAAGATGGGTGGGTAGTATTTTATTTTATGTGTCTAACACCGTTTTTTTTTTAGTCTATGGATCCTTCACTGATTTGAAGTACTATAATTGTCATATACCAAGCATTGTATATATGTTTATTATATACATATACTATACACATATGCATATATATACATGTACATATATATAGTGCCTACTACCAGTTGAGTCCTATGCTTGACAGGTTGTACCAAAATGGAAAATCATGCATTACATAAGAAACCAGTCATGTTGATTTAAAAAATAAGTATGCACACACCCATGTCTATGAGGATACTTCAAAAATCTCTTTGAAAATGAAATTAAAGCATTCATTTATTTTGGTACATAAAAATTTAAATCCATCCATAGTTTTCTCATAATTTGATTTCTCATTTTTGTTGTGAACTGTTTGAGAAAATCTTGCTTGCACGTATGTAATGCACAGAATACCACAAACAGGGAATTTGGAGGTAGGTTGACTTCAGAGTTAGTTTAACCAGTCTGAACAGCATTATCAAGAACTGAGGCTTAGTCTTAGGTCTGATTTTTCTGGTGATGGCTTCCAGTAGCTCTCATTTACTTTTAACATTTCTATTCAATAGAATAAAAGAATAAAAGAATCCTTATTCTTAGTTATGCATTAATAGGAACAATTTAGTAGAATGCCAATTTTAGGAAAAACGTTATTATAGGGCAATATCAAATACTGACTGTCATTAAATAGCATTATGTGAAGGGAGTGAAATTAGAATGACTGGCTTATAATAATCAGAACTCAATGTTTCAAAATTTATTAATTATTTGAAAGGGAGAGAGAAGAAGCCACACACACACACACACACACAATCTTCCAATCTTCCATCCACTACTTCACCCCCCAAATAAATGGCTGTAATAGCTGGAGCTGAGCCCTCCAAATCCAAGAAACAGAAGATTCTTCCAGGTCTTTCATGTAGATGCAGGGGCCCAAGGACTTGAACCATCTCCACTGGTTTCCTGGGTGCGTTATCAGGGAGTTGAATTGAAATGGAGCACCAGGACTCCTCTGGCACCCATTTAGGATGCCATCTAGCTCCACAGGCAACATCTGAATCCGCTTGCCACAGCAGCCCTGGAATTTTCTCTTGAGTTTGCGATTTATCACAGTAGATGCAATGGATGTTGAAGGGTTCTTTAAACCATAGACGCAACAGCTTCATTCTCAAATTGTTTTTAATACTTCTATGTTTATTATATAGTCAATCTATTTCAATATTATGAATACGAACTTATATTTTTGAAGATTTCTCTCACACTGCCATTTTGTGTTTAAGAAATGAGATGTGTAACTGAGTATTTTTTACATTACAGGTATTATGTTATTTTAACTTGAGAAAAAGATATCTGTTTCCAAAACTTAGAAAAAGACTTACTAAATATTTAACCTCACTTATCTGAATCCTTTTTGTTACAGAAAGCTGGGAATGTTTTTGAAATTCAAAAACATTCAGACATCTTTAAAGGATGCCATTGTACTGGATTATTATGTGTCTGGATTTTTGTGGGCCAAAGGAATGGAGTTTTCTGCCATCCAACATTCAAAATTTATGACTTTACTAGATATGTTACTTCAAAATCTTAAAAGTAAGTATACTAGTTGCCTCTTGTTTAAGAAGGGGAAGCTCTGTCGCCCATCTAAATTAATAGTCTTATGTAGAAGTCTCTGATTTTATTGTAACTCCTTTGATGGGAATTATAGGGTTTTCCTGGTTACTGCAGAGATATAGTACATGACTGAATTGTAAAACCCGCAAGTAATATTTAATAAGACTAAAGTTCCCATAATTTTCCCTGGGAATACTAATTTCATTTAAACATCTTAGTACAATTCAAGCTACAAAAATTTAGGGATTCTGATGTTCTTGTAACTCACTGTCAATCTAAAACTACTCTGAAATTACAAGCTTACCATCTGCTATAGCTCCTATAATGAAATACAATACAACCGTGAACAGAAATGAACGAGAGATCTTCCAATGCATTGTATCAGAGATTGTACGTCGTTATTGATGATAGCAAGGTTCCAAGTTGTGTGCTTTTGTTTGCTAAAAACAAAAAAGTAGAAAATTATTTATTTTATGTGTGTATGCACAAGAAATAGTGGGAGAAAATAAAGTGGCCATTGGACAACAGACATGCGACCCTGAGGAGGTCTTTAGATGGTAGAGAGATAATGATGAAAAATGGAAACATGATGGAGAGAGAGGAGGGAATAGAGAGAGAAAGAGAGAGAATGTAGATTCCCATGAATCACCTATGGAGAAAGTTGAATTTTGAAAGACTACAGAGCTGGAGAGTCCTCAGCTTATTTTCTTTGAGTATTCATAAACTCAAAGAAACAGAATAAAGAAAGCTGAAACACACCGGCTCTCTCATTCCAAAAGAGATGCTATTTCCATTTTAAGATTTTTTTTCCATAATTTATAACTGAATCAAGGATATTTCTTTTGAATGGAAACTTTATATTGTTGATAATCCAAAAGTGAATTTCTGAAACTGGAACAGGATCTATTGGGAGAATGAAAGCACATTTGTAAAACCTAAACAGAAATAAATAAAAACAGGAGTTCTGATTCTTTTTTTTTTTTCTGGTAGGAAAAAAAAATATAATCCCCTTTAAACCTTTCAAGTTAAGAAACCATGGTCATCATCAGGAAAGAATGTACTTGTAGGCAAGTGTGCCAAAGAATGAGGTGCAGTGTGCTTACCCTTAAACTCCGCGGAAATAGAGTCCTGAGTACAGCCAGTCTTCCCACTTAGGCAACAACTTAATAAGCCAATGACTGGAGGGCACAGGCGAGTCTGCTGGTGGTAGGAACAGTCAGTTCCCTGTGGGAACTGCACAGAATTTTGATCTGATCCTTGTGTGAAACCTGTGCTGCATAGCAAAAAAAGAGCTTTGAGACAATCCACACCGAGTCAAGCTGGATCAAGCTAATAGATTGTGGAACATGGGAACTGCAAAGCTATGCAGTTAGGCTGTTCTCCACATATGTGAGTTCCGTAGGTGCGTCAGTCAACCACAGTCTGATAACACTTGGAGAAAAAAAAAATGCCTGTCTCGACATCTCTCTTGTCATTATTTTCTAAACAATACAGTATCATAAGTATTTACATAACATGTACGTGATGTTAGACAGTAACAGTCATTTAGAGGCAATTTAAAGTGGATGGAAATATTCTACAGATTGTGGTTATATGCCAATATCACTCCATGCTGTAGGAGAGATTTGAATATTGGGAGTTGGGCATTTCTGGGAGGGCCTAGAGACTATCATGTGCGAATACCAAAGGACTACTGCATACAGTTTGCAGTTTGTTCTAGGGTCTGGGCAAGCACAAGCTGTAGAGTGCTTGATCCACTTGCTGTTTAGCCTCTCATCCAGATCCAGGGGGCTAGAATGATTTTCCTTTAGCAGACATTAGAAGCTCCAGAACACTTAACGCCTGTGATAGTACATGGTCTTTGCCTTACATAGGAATAATACAAACAGCACGCATGTAGGATCGTCTTCTACAAGCCACAGTGTTTCACAAGTATCGCTTTTTAAAGTTCACGTTTAATTTTATGAAGACAAAAGGTAAAACTCAGAGAGACTCGGTATCTCTGTAAGCTCACAGCAAGGGAGAAGCCACCCTCTTGACCTCAACGTCCAAGGTGCTTGTTCAGCCTTACACTGGATTCCGTCTCAGTTACCACGAGTCTCACATGCATTCTTATTTGCTCCTCACGAGACTCTAATTTTGAAAATAGATATTATTCTTATTCTACATGTGAGGAAAATAAGAATTGGGTCACCTAGCAGGTAAGCGTCAGTTATGAGGCAGCTTCCAAAGTCTTCCAATTAAGGCTAAGTATGGTACGTTCTTTCCTCATTCTCAATTTTTCAGAATCAAAATTATTTTTAACAGCCCTCAATACTTAAGTGGTTTAATATTTTGTATTTTAATCACGTCAGTAAAAGTGGTTTTCCAAAGGGCAAATATTTCAGTTAGATAAGTGAAATGATAACTTCCCTAATTTTTAGAAGAAATTAGCTACAGAAAGGCATTAGACCTAAGAAAAACAGTGTTAAGAAGCTTTTTCTTAAGCATAAGGAAGTAGTCATGCAAATGTAATTTTGTGTTTGATAAGTGTTAATTTCATCTGAAAAATTTCTTTTTTCCTTGTATGTCTCTAATTAATATCATTTTATTAATTAAATGATTTAGAGTTGCCATTCATTTTTGAATTGATTTTACCCAGCAGACTTTGATTTCTGAAGCTACTTCCACTGTTTTCAGAAGAAATTTGTCATGGAAAGAGAAATGTAAATCGAATGCAGTTCCATTTAGAATGACACAGGAAAGCCTGGCTATTCAGCAGCAATTCAGTGTGTTGCATTAGACCAGAATACTATGAGAGATGGACCAACTGGACTTTAAGAAACCAAATGTTACTAATTCTGTAGCTCTTTCTCTAGTTATCTATATCTTTCTGCAATATAACGGTCTTATACTTTTTACTAACTCCTACAAGTGGATTTGAATCCAGACTGTGAAAAGGACAGTTTTGGGTTCACTCTATCTTTCCCAAATTTCAAACTGTGATCATTTTATTAGTACATGTGGTTTTTAGGATATCCAACATTTACATCCCAGAGGAAAAGTGTTTTATTCCAGAAGCTACTGGGTCCGTCAGTCAGCAGATGTTCTCACAACTTGCTTTAGTCTGCACAGCCACCCCACCCCTAAAAAGTCCAATCATAAAAGGAAGTGGAAAGTTACTGATAATTCCCTAGGAGGGACAGATACTTGGTGGAGAGCGTTCTCAGTGAGCAGCTTGGTCTCCCAGAGGCCTCCTCGTTCAGGACCTTTGCGCGTATTCCGCTGTCAGTTGCACAGCCTCAGTTTCTCCAGAATCTTTGAACTCTCCACCTCCAGATGCCACAGTTCTAGGTCCGCACACCTAGCACTGATTGGCAAGCAAAGGACTGTCTCCCTACTACCTGAATGCATCCTACAGGGAGAGAGGTGGCAGCAGAGTCTATGTGGAAAACAAGTCATGCTTTTCCTGCCTCAAGGAAAAATGTAATTACCAAATATATAGACTTTTTTATTGTGTACACGCTAAAACTTAAGTCTGAGATTTTTGATTCATATTCATTTCTTTCACACTGAAGAGTGCTACAAAAGACAGTTTGTGTGTTTGTAACCCTAAGAGACTAGAATAATCGAATTGTGGGTTTTGTTAATCATGGCAAAACGGTGTCATGCTTTGTGAACTCTCCTCTGGATCTCGTTAACATCACTGGGCTTGTGAGAAGCACCCTCCCTGAGATCTAAGTCTGCGAAAGAAATATTTGATATTTTAATGAAAATCTGTATTCCCGACCTATAAAAAATCTTCAGGCACGAATGGTAGAGTCAGAAAAAAAAAGTGTTTAAACAAGTCTTTATATGTTTGTGTGTGTACGTGTGTGTATTCTACACAGATATAAATGTAAAGCGCATTTACATGTCTATTAGATCTTACAGCAGAAATAAGCTCCCAGTTAGATAGAGCATCATGGTAATCTGTAGCTGTAGAGTTTGTCAGCTGCTAATCTTTCACAGAAAGTTAGTATGAAGAAACAGTGAGAGTTTGACCACTTGTCCTCACAAATGCAGAACAAAGCAAATTTTGGCCCATTTAGGATATTATGAGTTATTTTGCTCCCCAAAACATGTATCAAGATGAAAATTTTAGGGATATATATATATATATATTTATTTATTTATTCATTCCAGCGCTACATGTGTCATTGGAAGAAAGTATAAAATGGCTTGGGGAAGTTTTGGCTGAAATAGGACCAAACCACTCACACAGAGATGACGAATGGAATCTATTTGATGTAAAGCAAGCCAATGCCATTGTTGACTACTTACACATCAGGTATGGCTTTCCAATAGCGTTTATCTTTAATTTCATAACTTCCAGGAAGTAGTTATTCAATGAAACCAATTCACTGATAAGCAAATTAAGAAACCTTATGGAATTTATGCTGTAATTCACCCAACCAATAAATACATAACATTCAAATATTCAATCTAATAACTAAAAACCAGATCACCAAACATTTTGACTAAGCATGTGCTGTGACAAAATGGATTAGATTTGATAAATATGATTCCATTTAGACTTATGATGAATTACTTAAGAATTATCTAAGAATTTTTCTTGATATTTCTAATTAATATACTGTTGCATTTATACAATGATTCTTTCAGATTCTATTACAATAGAATTTAGGTAGTTGATTTGTTCGATGATTTAGTTTTACATTTAAAGAGTAAAACTCATTTCCACTTATTTCAGTTTTTTTTAAATGATTTGTGTTAGAAATCAAAGAGACTAATGTATATGCTTCCTCAAATGTATTATGTGCCTTGAAAACTTTTGTGATACTGAACAATTAAATTCATTAGTAAGTCTTTCTGCTTAGAGAATGATGGTCTGTGAAGGCAAAGCATTTTTATTACAGTGATTCTTCATGGCGATGGAACAAATCTGTCTTTTTATATAATCCGTCACAAGGTCTACATTAGAACCATGTATCTCTCCAAAAGAATATTTTTTGGAATTTGCAAATATTCGAAAAGAGAAGGTTAAAAAAAAAAGAACCTTTCGTTTGCTTAGAGAAAATCATCTGTAGAATATGTTTACTCTATACACTCCTCCTATGCCATATATTCTAACATTTTCCAACTTGTAAATTTAAATTCTTATTCAGAGTGCTAAATGAGTTCCTAGACATGCCCATGGTTTGCTTGGCAAGGGTCCTGGTTGTAGCTTTGAAGGCTTATAAATATTAGTGTGTTTAATACGATAAAGTTTATATACTGTTTTCTGGCATGAATTAATAGTGGCATATGATAGCATGTTTTGTATAATCACATTTGATATAATAATTTCAAATTACAAAAACAGCTCCTAGTGGGTATGTTTCAGTAACAGCTATGGTAGTTTTCTCATCTGTTGGAGTAAGGCAACGTTGCTGTGCGTGCGGAGGAGAGATGAAGCAAGCTCAGAACCATATTCCTCAAGGTTTCTCTGAGAAATCAGTGTGCAAAAGGAAGTCTGACTCTGCACATTTCTAGCAGCAGCATCTTTCCCTTCTGCCTCTATTGGAGCTTGCTTTCTCTTACAAGACGCAGTTTTACCGTTGAGCCCTGTGCCTGGGAGTTTTGTTACGGGCGTGGGAACTGATAGCCAACTGCAGCTGTGAAAGCATTGCAGACGCCACAACACCTTGTAGATGGTGAAGAACGCTGTCTCTTCTCCCCTTCATCCCATCTCTCTGAACGAGTGTTTCTTGATGTATTTCATGATAGTGTCTTTGAGAAGATCGTTAAATTATGAGCAGTTGTCAGCATTAGTCACCTTTTCATCCCAACTAAAATTACTTCACACACCAAAAATCTCCAACCCTACATCTATGAAAAAAATAATATTTAAGGTGTCAGTGAAAAAGTAGATTTGCACTATTTCAATGATGTTAAATCTTTTAGTAGGATTATAAAGAAATCTGCATTGTAAATAGCTCTGTTACAGAAAAATTAAATATTAGTTGGTGGGATATCTGGAATTGATACTGAAGTTACGTAAAGCAAAATCTGATTTTCTATACCTGCTTAGAATCCCTCATATATACCCAAATGGAGATTCAATGGCAATCAAATTATACAATATTTGCATTTTAATGAGTACATAACTTTTTTACATAGGAAGATAACTTAATTATCAAAAATATAGCTACTTCAACTTAACTTGATGTTAGACTCACTCGAACATTAAAGTCTCTAATCAGTTTAGGGAGAACCCATAGCACATGAAGCCTAACAGACAATAAAACAAAAATGTCATTCAGTAGTCTTGATACTGTCTAAACTGTGTATTCTACTACATGTCTGCAATTTGAAAGAGCTAATACTGATGTTTTTCCCCAACATTAATATAGTACATCTGTATTGGTAACTAGATGATACATACACAATGAGGAATACGTATTTTTATGTACTCTATAATGTATTTTACAGTGTACAAGAACACATGCACAACCACAGCATTGTAGCATAAGTCATCCTTTAACATGCACAGCTTGTCCAAGTATGCATGTGTCTTAGTCTACTTCCCCCATTCCCTGGGAATGAAGTGAACATAAAATACACATGCACCTGCTCCAATGTAAGCAAAGCAATCCTGGTCCTTGCAGTACAGCAGCACATTACACTTCCAGGCTTGGATCCAGACTTCTGGATGCATTTCTATTCCATCTTCCTCTGATTTAAGACTAAGACAAGATGTTTGACAAAGTAACATTGGCGCCTCAACCCAAATTCAACAGGGAGAAATGCAGTTCTTTGATTGAAGTGTCGCTTTGCTCCCGTGCGTGACCATCTAATGGTTTCCAGATAAAGCTGGAGGCGGAAGGCAGGATGAAGGAAGAGAGGCACCAAAGCCTGCCTCTGGGAAGGTGCGCCGCCTCCGACACCTCCCTTGGATATCTAATCCTAGTCCTGCCTTTGTCTCCAACCATGCAAGTTTGATCCCCTCATCCAAGTCATGCATTTCATTGTCACTGTGAGAAGAGAATTTCCATTATTTCATAGGACACTGTCATTCCCAAACTCAGCAAAGAGAAAAAGATGAAAAGACTATGAAATTGTCAAAAGTTAAATTTCTGGATTGATTAACTTCTTTGTGTGACACAAGATGAAAAAAGGGAAATGTTCCTCATTGAGAGGAAGCCAAGCTCTTCTTGGAAAACTCTGTTTCTCTTCTGAAAAATAAAACAGTGACAGTAGTTGCACACTGTGAATATACTAAAACCATTTAATTGTATGCTTGAAATGGATAGATTATAAGCTTTGTGAGCTATGTAGCTCAAAAAATCCGTTTTCCAAATTTTCATTAAAAGGTTACTGTCAGTGCAGCTTTACAAAAAATTATCATTCTCATATTATTATCATGTTAAGATACGGTTCCATAGGCCCTGGGATTTTCCTTCTTCCCTCCCTGACTACTCCTCCCCTCCCCCGCTGAGTTCTCCCATATCATTACAACAGCATATTTCCTCATAGACAGTCCTAAGTCCATCATTGTAGGCATGCTCGCCGGCACAGCCCAGAATCCCATTGTTGAGACACATTCAGCTGTTTCACTGGGAGTCCATCCTCGATCCAGAAGTAGAGATGCACACTGCACCATATCCTCCTATTTGGACATGTCAGTCTCCGCTACACAGTCACTATACATCCCCTTAAATGAAAAGCCACAAAACAAAATCAACAACAGGAAGAAAAAAATAGAAATTTACAACACCATGAAGTTAAATAACATGCTACTGATTGATTAATGTGTCGCTGAAGAAATGAAAAGGAAATCAAGAACCTTCTTAAAGAAAATGATGCTTCTGTGTGATCTGAGTCATTAAAGAATTTAATGAGAAAAAAAATGTGTTTTGAAGAAATGAAGCTAAAAACATCAAAATCCATGAGATACAGTTTCCGATGATCTTTGTTGGTGAGATGTATCTCCTGTAGGTTGTGTGTTTTTATTCAGTCTACTAATCTATGACATTTGACTGATGAGATTATGCCACTTACTTTCAGGGTTAATATAAATAGGTGGTAATTTGTTCCAGTTATTTAGCACTGAGTTGTTCATTGATTTAGTCTTCTCTTGTTATTTTGCTGGGATGTTCTTCACATTTGCCTTTGGTTTTGATGGGTGCTATTCTTTTTCTCTGTCAAGAGGATATCTTTAAGTACCATTTTCAGGGCAGGTTTAGAAGAGGCAAATTCTTTAAAATTTTTTTTTACTGTGGAAGAATTTTATTTCATTTTCAAAGACAAAGAAAAGCTTTGCTGGGTACATTATCCTGGGCTGACAATTTTTGCTTTTAAAATCTGGACTATATCTGTTCTCTTTTGGCCTGTAGAGTTTCCTGTGAGAGATCAGGTATGAATTTAATTGACATTCCTCTACGTGTCAATTGATTTTTTTCACAAACACATTTAAGGTATTTTCCTTGTGTTTGATTGAAGAGAGCTTGATGATCATGTGTCATGGTGAAGATTGCTTTTGGTCAGACCTGTGGTGAGTTCTGTGCCCCTCCTGGATGTTGTTTCCCAATTTTTTTCTCCAGATTAAGGAAATTTTCTTTTATTATCTCATTAAATACATTTTTAAACCCACCTTCTCTTTCTTCACCTTCTGGAACCCCCATAACTCTTATATTTGGCCTTTTAATAGTGTCTTTCAGTTCTTGAATACTTTTTTTTAGCATGACCTAGCTCTGCTTCCAGGTTTTTGTTTGTTTCTCCCTGGTGATAGAAACTATCTTCCAATTCTGAGATTCTTTCTTCTGCTTTGTTCATTCTACTTTTGAGACTTTCCACTGTACTTTTAATTTTGCTCCACTGTATTCTTAATTTCTGGTGTATCAGCTTTCATTTGACTCATTTCCTGTGTGACATATTGCTTAAATTCCTTGAACTCCAGTGTTACGTGCTTCTCATTGTTGATAAGAAGTTTTATCACAAGTGTTTTGAATTGTATATTGCCATTTTTTAAAATATATTCCTCAGTTAACTCTGAGATTAGCAAAGGCTTTTGCTCCTTTGCAGGGAATTCTTAGGTAATGTTTACTTGTGCCTGTCTCTTTTCTTTTGCTCTTGGTCATTGTACTTGTGTTCAGCAGATTCTTCTCCTTGAGACAGGTTTCTAAACTGTGTCACCCACAGGTCTGCAATTTGATCTTACTTATCTTAGTTGGTTTGTAATCACGGGTGCCACTCCCTCCCATGAGTTTCAGATCAGGGCTCTTATGTTACATTTCCACCATGGTCTGCGTAGCCCAGCTCCCGGCTCAGCACTCCACCTCCTGTGATCCTGTGCTAATTTTGCATGCTGTTTGTACAACTTTTCTCTTAGTTCCAGTTCACGCAGTTCCCAGGATGATAGCATATACACAGCTCACTGCTGTCCCTGCAGTATCAAAGCCTTTGCCACACTGTACAAAATGGTGCACAATGTGCCACTATTCGAGTTCTTGATCTGCCTGCTGTTAGGTCTGGGAGCTACCTGGACTAATTTTGGGTGGAACCTGAAGGATGCCATGTCGTTGCAATTCACTGAGCCAGAAAAGAGTTTGCTCCCACTTAGTGCGCGTGCAGACTTGTCCCACAGCCGTTGCCTTGCTACACAAGACGATGCCTGATTCAGCTCTACTGGGGTCTGGGCTGTGAAATCTATCCTGTTACCACACTGCCTGTTTGGGATCTGCTGTTCTGTCTCTGCTCCTGGTTAAATCAAACAAACCAGCAGGACAGGCAGTTCTTTGTCTGGGTTCACCTCCTGAGCTTGCGGTGAACTACCTTTCCCACCTGGTTGCTGGTGGAGTTCAGATCGTCACTTGCTGAATGCTGCTGGCATATCAGGTCATTGCATCACCACACCATTGTCTCTGCTGCTTTCCCATGTGCATCAGACTCCATGTTCCCCTTTGCCATCAGTCTGTCCTCTACCATTTCCTGGAATGTGCCCTGCCTGTTTTACCCTGGCTAATGTTTCTCTGACTGCTTAATCATGTCTTCATTCTATTCCACCATCTTGATTCCTAAAATTGTACGGCGTTTTTGACCCTAAAGCTTTTCTTTGGTCACCAGTATAAAGGGGGAGAGAATTGGAATTTATTTGGCTTCATTAGAATTATCAAACCTACTAATCTTAATTTATTTTTCCTAGCCAACAAATCAAAGTGATGTCAAAAGCTAACTTAGTTTTCTGAATCTTGATGGATGATTTGAATGTACAAAGGTTCTCCTTTAAAAAAAAATACCCCGACTTGAGTTCACACACCCATTGCTTTTTAATGGATTCTGTTAGTGGTAGGATCACCTGCTAATACAACTCAGAGAGACCCAGCTGCCTGAGGATTTCTTCATTGATTTCAAATGAATTGAAACTTTGATCCGTTACAGCATTGAGGAGGAGCCATTATTATACATGCTCTGTAGCTACGTTTTGCAAATGTTAATTTCTCAGTTATATTAAAATCAATTTTCTTAAATAGCAAAAGGCAGCAGAGTGAAAGAGAAACCACTAAGACAATTTCTTTTAGTTGGGCATTTTGCTGTATTATGAGTCTATTAATTTTCCCAAGCAGCAGGAAGGGAATTAGAAAAATTCAAATATTATCACAAACAGAATGTTACAAGTCAGACCATCAGTAAAATTTTAACTTTCAATAATATGTTGCCAAGCTCTGGAAAATGCTTGTTTCCACCGCCTTCTGTCCTTCAGGTCTTTGTAGATTTTAGGTAGAAGAGGAACACTTGCTTCTCCTTAAATTAATTCCACTCTTTGATATGCAGACAATATTTTCCAGGAAAAATCAGAAGGCTTCTAAATGGATTTCCATTCATGTCACATCATTTTCCAGGTGCTGTTGGAACTTAATTTAATCTTGAAACAATTCAGGAATGTGAGAAGCAATTGATATGGAAACAGATTGTAGAATTTACTGTCATTGGTAGCAGAAAAAAAATTGACTTCATTTTGAAACAAAACTTAATAAACAAGGTGATATCTAATGTTTCTTAGGGATAATATATTCCTTGGTTTTAAGATAGGGAAAGTCAAGATTCAATTTAATTGTTCCCTTATCCCAAACTTATCCAATTTTCACAGAAGGATTTAATGATTTCATTCTAGTTCTGTGTTATAGTATCATTGTCTCCAAATATAAATCTTAAACTTCTTAGCATTTCAGGACAGTTTCTTTTGGCATAACAGTGATGTGAAATTCAATGTTTGCATTTAATATCATTAGCCAGATCCATACAAATTTTCCTTTAATAAATGCCTTAATACATTTTCTTTTTTCTGAAACAAATCCATCAAAACTGCACAATCATTGTGTCTTTCAGTTTATTTCAGCACTACAAGCTGTATGAGTTTCTGTTTTATTTTACCAGAGAAGAAATTGTGATCGGAACTGAGGTAAGTAATTTATCTAGATGGAACCAATTAAGCTGAATCACTTAATGCATGCTGATCAGCATCTGGATATTTAACTGCTTCAAGCAACTTCTTGTCAAGATTATTCAAGTGTTAATATAACTAACTACCAGTTTGCAGAAAGAATAATTACATAAAGTGAGCTTTGGATTTAGAATATAAGCTGTCTTTTGCCATTAAAAACACTGTTAATCACATATACTTTATGGATTTATGGGTTATTTGAGCTCAACTGAATAGACTTATGTATGTCTTCATACAAATAAAATCAGGAAAATAAGATAAATTAATTCAGTTAAATCTTTTCAAATTTCACATTAATTTTCAGTCTATTCATTGTTCAGGCCTAATTCAAATTCCACTTCCTCAATGAACCAACCATATCTTAATTACCTCCTATCTCAGACAAAGGATTTGGACAAACTCTTTAATCACAGTCTATGATTTCATTTCAATTGATCTCTTCTTGCTTAATTGTGGCTACTTTACACCAATAATCACATAAATATGCACCATGTTACATGGTTTTCTAAATGTTTCCTGTGGATTGATATTGTCAATACAATTCAGCAGTAATTGTCCCAAAAGCTAGGATCACCTGCTCTTGTTTTCCTACCATAGTCTGTCTTACAATGTAGGGCACAGTGCATAGAACATCAGTTCCTCAGTAGTTTACCTGTATGCATGCTTGGATATCTTAACATACAACCACATATTTGAAAACATTAGAAATCAATTCTAAGTAAAAAATGTGCAGGAGGCACAAACTGTCAGGAAAAATGTTTTGAATGTGCTCAGTTGTGTTCCATATCTTCACATTTTTCTGCACAATTATCCTGATACTTCATACTAAATGTAATGTGCTAACTCTTCTGTCTTCCTGAATGTTGTTATTCCAAAATTTACAAATTGCGTACCTCAAAACCATCTCTACTGCCATCATTCATCCTCCTTTTCGAGTACGTTGTCTAATGCAAACCTTGTAAAAAGTTCGCTGCAGTAAAGCAAAGAACTTTTTTGTTTTTAATTTCCTTAAAATTATTTCTTTGTAATCTCTTCAAACTTTTGCTAAAATTAAGTGTCCCTTAAAAAGTTTCATTGAAAATGTTCCCATTTTATAATTATATCTTATGGCATGGCAATATTGTAATAGCTAACAGCTTGTTGCACAATCCTATCCAGCAAGTCTCAGAATATAACAGTGCCTTCAGTGGTAGAATCACTGGACATTTAGAGTCATCTAGAAAAAATTTCAGCAAAAGTCCCTTGCCTTTGTTATCTGAACAATCGTGCCTTTATTCTATATAATAAGGATATATTTAGGTGACATTTATGCTTATGGAAAAATAAAATGAATTAAGTAGAAAAGCAGTGACATTTTTCTTTTCCCCAAGTGATGAGAGCAATGAAAAATCCTTGGAGAAAAGATTTGGGTCTTTCAAGAATTAGTGCAATCATGGGCTTTTAAAAGATTAATGAAAGCAGATATTATAACACAATACTTTATGGCGTTGTGTTGGAGGACGCTCAGGGTGAATATCTGCTTTTTAATTAAGGATCTTTGATGGTGGATACAGAGGCCTGTCCCACTAACATGATTATTCATGCTGATCTTAGCACTGTGAAACCAAATAAGGACCACATGATGACCATATGACTGTTTTAAATTTAACTGTTAGGCAAGCAGCCAGATAATACTGATGAAATTTACTTTCTTTCTTAATTATGAATAGAGGAGTAGAAATAAAGGAAAATCTGATGGGAATGTCTAGTTTGTTAATGATAAAAGAATGATGACATGGAACATAATTACTATTCAATCCTTAATTAAATAATGGATCCGGTCAACTATGGTCAGTGGCTGGCTAGCATCACAAAAAGAGGGAAAAAACAGATATTACTGGACTCCAAATAAAATTATATAAAACCACACATGAATTGCTTTTGCTAGACATTTGAACTGGCCAATCATCAGATCATTCTTCTAATACTACTCATTTACTGGAAATACTGAAGACAGATGGAAAAGTTAATGATATGAGAGGAATGCAATTAACCAAACAAGTTGTGGAGGTGGAGAATCTACAGGACAAAAGATGTAGACTATTCAGCAAACAAATTGCAAGGAAATGAAAAAGCAGATAAAAAATGAACCTGCAGATGAAATTGAATAGCTTACATTCAGTTCAGTCTAGATGTTTTACTTGTGCTCTCCAAGGAACAGATAAAACAGAAGACAGTCATGGGATTATCAAGAACTGAACATCAGCTACATATGTGATAATAACTGCATATTAATTTCTGGAACTTGTAAATGTGATTCTTTTGTGGCAAAAGGGAATGTGATTAAATTTGAATTAAATCAGATTTGAAATGGGGAGGATAGTTTGGGTTATCCAGGTGAGCCCAATATAATCATATATTTCCTTATACAAGAACAAGGTGGGGGCCTGGTGTGGTGGCCTAGTGACTAAAGTCCTCGCCTTGAATGTGCCTGGATCCAATATGGGTGCCAGTTCTAATCCTGGTGGCCCCGCTTCCCATCCAGCTCCCTGCTTGTGGCCTGGGAAAGCAGTCGAGGATGGCTCAAAGCTTTGGGATCCTACACCCACGTTGGAGACCTGGAGGAAATTCCTAGCTCCTGGCTTCGGATTGGCTCAACACCTGCCGTTGTGGTCACTTGGGGGGTGAATTAAGGGACAGAAGATCTTCCTGTCTGTCTCTCCTCCTCTCTGTATATCTGACTTTCCAATAAAAATAAAAGAATTAATCTTTTTTTAAAAAAAAGAACAAGCTAGGAGAGTTAGAATTTTGAAGATGGAGAATGATGCTATTACTTTATTAATTGCTTTTGTGTCTGATGTGAATATCTCTTTTTAAAAATTTTTTAAAGATTTATTGTTTTTCATTGGAAAGTCAGATTTACAGAAAAGACAGAGAGAAAAATTTTGGTCCACTGGTTCACTCCCCAAGTGGTCACAATGGCCAGAGCTCAGCCCACCTCAAACCAGAAGCCAGGTGCTTCTCCAGGTCTCCTATGCAGGTGCAGGATCCCAAGGCTTTGGGCCATTTTCAGCTGCTTCTCCCAGACCACAAGCAGGGAGCAGGAAAGGAAGTGAGGCTGCTGGGGGCACGAACCGGTGCCCATATGGGATCCCAGTGCGTGCAGGGCAAAGACTTAAGGCACTGGGCTACTGCACCAGGCACATGGAAATCTCTTATGTTTTTCTTATTCTTTTTAGTAGTTGGTTATTGCACACTTTTGTAAGTAGGAAATTTAGAATTATATTTACGTGTGGATTTTTACTATATGACATTAAATATTTAGTAAAGTGACATTTAAATTATTGGGGATTTATTTAGTATGTATTTCATAAAGACAAGTTAGGTTACCTTCTTTAAAAATGAGTCTTAATTTTATCAAAAGATACACTTGCATCTGACCTGCCATTTCCCTTAATAACAACTAGAAAAGCTTGAGCATTTCTTTAAAAAGCTTCCGAGTTTGAAATTCTGTGGATCCAAGAGGCATAGTTTGGAAATGTTGTCTGCCTGTAGCAGGCAGGTAGTTTGGAAAAGGTGGTAAGAGAAGCTTTGTTAGATACAGAGAGCAAAGAGAGCAAATATTGGAAGCAAAAGAGAACATGATAAATCCTGCCCATGTGTGTCGGGGCTCCAAGGAGTTGCATGTTAAAAGAGACCATCCTTTACATGGACAGAATTTCATATTCAGATTATCTCCTGTTTTGGTGGACTTGAATTATCTGTGTGCAATGCTGTTAAAAATACTTTCTACGGTAAAATAAGTCATGCAACAATCCAGATTAAGTCAACAGGCTTTTTTTTAAATAACCAATATCTATCACAGTAAAAATAACCCAACACAGAGAAAACAGAAATATGGTACATATTTTCCAGATGATAATCAGTCATCTATTTTAAAAACATTTTTTCTAAAGAAAAAATGATTTAAAAGTGAGGAACAAGAGTGTTTCAGTAGAACACTAAAAATTATTAAAAATAATAGTTGGATTTTCTGGGTTGGGAAAATACAATCATTGAAATAAAAAAGCAAATAAGTGTGCTTAACAGCAGTTTGGTCATGGTTAAAGAGAAAAAAGGTTAACTGGAGGACAAGTCAGAGGAAAAAAAATACATATGAAATGAAGACAAACAGGACAAGACAGACATGAGCAAAGAATCTGAACAGACAATAGACCTTAAATAACTATGAGAGTATCCAACCTTCTAAGATATCAAGCAACTACAAAAATTGATATTTTTACTTGTAAGACTGTCTAATAATAAAAAGGTGAACACTTTTAATAGTAAGGATGCCAAAAAATAACATTCTACATGTAAGTGGTGGGATGAAACTTTTAAAGCCTCGTGTGATAGCAGCTTGGAAAAGTCATAATCAATGAACGTGAATATCTGTTTTCCCTACATTCTGAACCATCTCTATAGAAATGCTTACCTATTGCTTTTATATAATACTATCTAAACCTGAACATTCATCAAAGCAGCGATGTAACAGCCAAAGTTACAATAGAGAGAGGAAATGCTTAGTACAGATTTGCTATAGAAAACTGAGATTTTAGAAGAAGGTTGTAGATACTCATGCATGGGTTAAATTCTCTAAAATACATTCTTACTTTTTTAGAAGATTTATTTTATTTTTATTGCAAAGTCAGATAGACAGAGAGGAAGATCTTCCATCTGATGATTCACTCCCAAGTGACTGCAACAGCTGGTGGTGTGCCGATCTGAAGTCAGGAGCCCAGATCCTCTTTAGAGTCTCCCACACAGGCGCAGGATCCCAAGGCCTTGGGCCATCCTTGACTGCTTTCCCAGGCCACAAGCAGGGAGCTGGATGGGAAGTGGAGCTGCTGGGATTAGAGCCAGTACACATATAGGACCCTGGTGTGTTCAAGGTGAGGACGTTAGCCACTAGGCCACCATATCGAGCCATTTACATAGTA